TCTGTCTGTCTGTCTGTCTGTCTGTCTGTCTGTCTGTCTGTCTGTCTGTCTGTCTCTCTCTCACACACCCTCTCTTTATTGTCTTTTATGCAGTTTACATCGTGTCTATGAAGCCACCATGAGGTAGTGGGCCCACCACACTCTAACTCTAAAACAGTATGTTTGTCTTTCAAAGAGTGTGCTACTACGTTTCTATTAATGCAAGTCATTGTGCACTTAGGTATGTTCAAATTTTGAATAACTGAATCGATCGATTGCAATCTCCCAAACTGGCTACCTCGGCACAACTCATAAACAGGTACAGATAAATTAAAGTGGGGAAATTAATTCGGATGAAATGGCACTCACACATACCTAAATACCCAATTAGAAATGTGAGGAAGAGTGGTGGAATCGGGCTCTCGTCAAAATAATCAAAGTGAAGAAACTTGCATTTTTCCACAGGTTTGTGAATTTTTCTCAAATTTTTGTTTTTTGGCTCAACACCTTTCATGCCCATTAAAGAACTCTTTCTGTAGGGATTTTTCTGAAAAACGTTTATTAAAGGCACAAACAATGTAAATTTTCAGTTACCACGGACTCTTAAGATAAGGAAATGACTAATCTTTGGCTGCCATTTTCTCACTAATGTTACCTCTGAAAACAGGTGACCCCCATCACCTTTATTTGCAAATATCTCGACTTGTATTCCAGAGAAATGGATATTTTTTTCTCCGCTCCCCCCCAAAAAAGACAAACGAACAAGCTTTAAACGAACAAGATGATACCAATAACTCTACATGCCCAAAAATTGACGAGGGCCTGATTCCACCACGCTGCCTCACAAGTATATTCATAAATAAATACACATTTATACATACATAAATACACAATATCACACAAACGCAGAAAAATTTCACAAACATGCCATTTCCGGTTACCACTGTGCAGCACCTTATTTTCTAGCTAAGAGTGATCGTATCTTGCTCTAGATCACAACCCCAGTGGCAACCCACGTAACTAGTGAATCTGTCTGAATCACTTAGCCCATTGATATCATTGATATGTTTGCAGCTAACCACCGAAGCTAACGTTGTGGTTTATCGGGTTAATATTTCCTGTTTTCTCTAGGTGGAGGATACAAGAACATTTGATAAAAATTCCTCTGACTCGGAAATCGATCGTGGGTCTCTTGTGTGCGACAGCAAAGCGCCTAATTGCTACATCACAATCACCGGTAGAGAGTACACACGAAATATGGTCAAAGAGAAAAGTCTTGAAACTTTCAAATGACTTTTCTAAATTTTTCTTCCTTAGAAATGACAAGAAGCTTAGAAATCGTCCATCTAAGAATAACTTGACTAGCTGTAAGTGTCTATCAACAAAGCTAATAATGAATTGGAAGGACACCTATTCAGATATACTTAGCCCGACATTATGATTTTTTGGTCGCATTGTCTTAACCTGTAATATTGTTAGCATGCGCTCATAGAATATTTTGTCCATAGCCTATTAACATTCTAAATGTTAAAAAAGCAGGAACCCGTGCTAAAAAGCAGAAAAAACCCCAACAAAAACCCCC